ACCTCTGGAGCAGATGTGTGTTTGGCGTGGGGGGAGGGAGTTGAGGAAAATGGGGGAGCACTGAGAGATGAAGGGGCGGGGGTTCGGTTCTTTCGAGAAACGGGGTGGTGGTGGAAGGGGAGGAGTGCAAATCAGCGCCTTGTCTGGACTGGTCCCTCTGGAAGAAGAGGCTGTGAGGGGAGCCCGTGGCGTGTCAAGCGCAAGACTCAGAAAACTTACCTACTCTCCCTGCCTGCCCATCGCCAGCACCCCTCAATCCCGGGCCTGGGGACCTGGGGCCGTAGATGGTCGGGGAGGGGCTGCAGACTCTGAACTGAAAGTCCAGGGTAAGAACCGTGAGGTAGGAGCCCAAGGGGGAGGTGGTGGGTGAATCTTACAGCTCCCTCCCTGATTTTCCTCCCCACCCCCATCCTTCTCTGTAATCGTTAGCAGCCCTGGAATTAAGGGGCTCAGACCTGAAGGCCTTTCTGTGCACCTTTGCTACAAACGATAACCATCTGTGCCTGAGGTAATCGGGCTGGAGGCATTGCCTATATCCTGTTTAGGAAGTGGGACGGGGTGACAAATGTATTGTTTTTTCCATCCCCACCTTTTATCCTCCCCCATACACACCCCTGTTTCTACTTTAATTCTCCGTGGTTGAGTGGCAGTCGTGGTCACCCTCTCCCCTTTGTGGCACTTAGTACCTTGGTTACCTCTTTTGAATTTTTTATTCAGCCTCTATCCCAGCTCCTAACTGCAAGCTTTGTAGTACTTCAGTTATGGTCTGTGTCACATTGGGGAGTACCTCACAACGCCGCCTGGCTCCCGATGGTAATGAGCATTTTCTTTTATGAATACTGGAATTCCAGAGCTTCTGCAAGGAATCATAAATGGCATCATAGCCCAGGAATCAAGGTCTCTTGCTCTAAATACTTTATGTGTGAGGAATTTACATGTTGTCAACTCTTTCCAAAAATGATTTGATGTTAGGCTAATTCTGGATATCTGTGTTTCTCTCCACCCACACTTCATGATGCACTTCTGAGAACAGAAAACCCCATATTACTTTTTTTGTTTCTACAATTGGACAATAGCTCTTTTATCTTTCTCGATCTGTGTGTCTGGCATACTTAAGTGACAATCAACTTGTTCTGATTTTTATCTTATTTAGCGAATCCTTTGTGTATAGGTGGTCTTATGGGAGACAATGTGATGTGTAGTTTTGTTTTTAGCAGAATGCAAGTCCATAATGGTATGGGAATGTTTGAAGAAAGAATAATTGAGAAGATCTCCTTCGCGTTGTTTAAAAAACAAACAAAAACCCACCACGGAATAAGTAGTGCCTCTTCTAGCCTGCCTTAGGGATTTCAGAGTGAAGTGTTAATGATTCTTGTTTTGCAGTTGATACATTTTAAAAGAGAAACCCTCTGTTGATTGTGGAACTATGCTTTAAGAAACTATGCTTTAAGAAATAGTGCTAAATTTTAGGGGTCCTTTGACTAGAAAGGGCATACATTTTGCTCTGTCACTGAATTTGATGCGTAGTGTCTTTAGGATTATCTTAACAGATGGCCTTCTGATGCTGGGAAGAGAGTCCCATCATACTACTGCCTTCAAGCCTGATAGAACACAATTCTTAATGCCTTATTGTATAAGTTATGGTGTTTAGATGACTTAGAGAAATAAAAGAATTACCTCTACACTTTAATTCATTTGGAACCTAGTTTGCCATTGAATGAAAAGTCCAAAATTCATCCACTTAAGACTGGCTATTAGCAGGGCGTTGGTGGCCTTTAATCCCAGCACCCTGGAGGCAGAGGCAGGCAGATCTCTGTTAGTTCAAGGCCAGTCTGGTATACAGAGTGAGTGCCAGGACAGGCTCCAAAGTCACACATAGAAACCCTGTCTCGAAAAACAAAAACAACAAACAAACAAACAAAAAGAGATTGGCTATTAAGTACTAGCCAGTGTTTCAAACACTGGGTGTATAAAGGTAAACCCAAGCAAAAGGTCCATCAGAATGGGAGGTGGGAACAGAGATAATAAAATCTGATTTTGATTAAATGCTGAAGAAAATGAATGATGGGATAGGAAGTGTGACTGGGATGCAGTGAAGGGAGAACTTCTTGAAGTAACACTTAAAACAGAACTTTAAATGAAAAGGAGCCAGCCATGCAAAGATGAAGGGAGGACGCTTAGAGGTTTAGGGAACACCTCATGCAGAAACTTGCTGGAATGAACTTGGCAAGTTCTAGAGACTGGGGAGAAAAAGTGGGGGTGAGGTGTTAAGTTTAGTGAGTAAAAGGTTGAATTAAATGGGGTCAGAGAAGGGGAGTTAGACCCAGGTAGACGAATATGATAAGGAGGGGGAAGAAATAGAAAAACTCTTTTTTGGTTAATTCTATTGCCTTTCTTGGAATTTTTATTGTTATTTTTGCAGGTTCTACTGGACTATCATAATTAAAAACACAAGCAGCTCACCCAGCTGAGGGTAGTAGAGAGGTGCAGCAGTGGTCACTTGGGCTATGTGTTTAGGAATAAGCAGGATGTTCAATTGAGTGCACATCTGTTCCCATAAAATATTTTGCCATATATACAGCTATTTAAAATTTCATAGTAAGTACTCTGAAAGTGTGCTAGTACTGACATCTTCCATCTCTGTTCAAACTTAAGATTGAAGGATTAGGCTTGTGTTAATAATATGTTCGTCTACAAATGGCCATCCAGATCTAAATTTCAGATTTTTTTTTTTTTTTTTTTTTTTTTTTTTTTTTTTTTTTTTTGTGGGGAGGCAGCATTTGTGTTGCAATAGTTCCCCTCTTGCCTGGGCCTCCTGGTGAGTAATAATATTCCGAGAGGTAGGTTGGTGCTAACAGTTCACTCTGGATCATATTAGATAAAGACCATTGTGGGGCCCATTTCTACTATGTCACCATCTTTGGGTTGGCATGTAACTCAGGGACGTAACCTACTTTTGCCTTCAGTTGGGGGCACTCATCTCTATTTCAATCTTGGATAGATTGTCCACTTGAGAGACTTAATCGAGACCTCGCCTTTGATTTGGCCTTCTTGAGCTGTATCACAGTACGCTAAAATGAAAGAGTTTTTTTTTTTCTTCGCAAAAGTGAAGAAAAAAAAATGAGTGAATTAGGCTTTTGAGTCAGGCAGTTGCGAGGCATAAAAGTTGCTTAGACTGTTTGTATACTAAACTCAGTCTTTTTTTTTTCCAAGACAGGGTTTCTCTGTGGCTTTGGAGGCTGTCCTGGAACTAGCTCTTGTAGACCAGGCTGGTCTTGAACTCACATAGATCCGCCTACCTCTGCCTCCCGAATGCTGGGATTAAAGGCGTGTGCCACCACCGCCTGGATATAAACTCAGTCTTATTTATTGTTATTTTGTTGTTGTTGTTGTGATTGTTGCTTTGTTTTTTCTGAGACAGGGTTTCTCTGTGTAACAACCCTGACTGTCCTGGAATTCACTCTGTAGACCAGGCTAGCCTTGAACTCATAGAGATCCACCTGCCACTGCTTCCTGAGTGCTGAGATTAAAGACATGTGCCATTACTGCTGGTTCAGTTTTAAAAATGTTAAATGAAACCTTTTGGTGTTTTGTAAAAACAAGTCAGAAATGGTGGATTTGGTTTAGGTTCTAGTATTATAATACTACCTGCAGGTGGCTCCTCAGAACTAACTTTGGTAGAGCATTCTGTGTTATCCTGGGGTAATGAAGGGACCCAGCTTGTTACTGGAATGCCAACAGCAAATAAATGCATTTAGGACCTGGCAAATAAGCGACTGATACAGGCACATACATATCTATGGCTTAGGCACAGGTTAAAGACCTTGTCCCTTGACAAAGACTTGATATGCAACTGCTGGGCATGCAGTATTCATTTGGTATTTAGCAGTCTACTGTTTCTCTTCATTTCAGTGGTTTATTACAAATCAAGCATGAAAATAATGTCTAGGCTGACATTTCATCAGCCAGTTTGGAGTCTACTTTTTGAAAGGGGATAGAGATGGGTAGGAGGGGATTTGAACATGGGGAGAAACCCTTACTTAACTCCTACATTGACCAGTAATTATGTTTAGAAAATGAATCTAAATCTGAGTGAATTTGGAACCTTGGAACTGAGTTGGCCTTTTGACCTATGGTCCAATCAGTTTGTTTCTTAAGGTTTGAGGATTTTGGACACATTCCAGTGAAAGGTGAAAACCTAAAAACCAGCTGATGCCACTTGCCTTTGACATTGTGGGTAAGTTGTTTTGCATTGCGTTAGATGGCTTAAAGTTAATCTGATTTTACTACTGTCTTGATATGTGTTCTGTAGTGGGGAGAGTTAATTGTACACTGGCTGCCAGTTGTTTTGAGGTGAAGAAGTAGTAGCTCAGATTGAAACAATGGTAATTATGTGGTGACTACCATTTCCCTAACTCTTGATAACTTATAATTAGTCTTTGTGTCTGTTTACAGATGTTCATACCAGTGTACCAGGATCAGTTCTTCCTAATGTTGGAACAGTGTTCTTAGCTCTTTCCACAACAGACCAGGTCGATTTAGTGTCCTTTAGTTCAAATCTAATGTCACTAGTTCTTGTATCTGTTTTCCTAGGCAATGAAAGTTTTTATTTCTTTGGGGGCCAGAAAGGAGAGTTGAGTGAGAATAATACCAAAAAGTGATACAAACTGATTCTTTGGAGTTATGCTATGATAAAAGGGGAAAATGCCCAGTCTTTAAGATATATGCAAATGTGACCTTATTTAAACACCATAGGTTGGAACATGTGGATGATAACTTCTGCTTCCTTGAGAGTTTGGCCTCGTCCATGTCTTTGAGCTGTGAATTGAATTGTTGGCTTTGGGGATGAGATATAGCATAGGAGCCTACATTGTATAGCAGTGTAAGCATCCTCATGTTCCCTTTCTGTCCTGCTGCACATTGCTGAAGCATTCAACCTCAGGACCCAATGATTGGAAATAATACTGTCACTGAGACTATTAGATCTAGACCAGCTCTGATGACTGGCAGATCTCTGATAAGCACTCTGTAGAGGGCGGGACTTCATTTTCAGGGGTATTTAGCAACTTGTAGCCATTGTTCTTTTTGCCTGTCAGTCCAGGAGACTGTTGGAGAGATCTGCCCCTTGTTTTAGTAGTCAGAGGGTTTACTGTATTGAATGCAGTTCATTTTACTTCACCTAGTCTTGGAAGACCAGGAAAAAGTCAGACCCTGCAAAACCTTAGAATATCTGGTGTACCTCTGGCTTGGATTGCAACTCTGCAGACCAGGCTGTCCGGGAACTTACAAGAATCTATCTGCTGCCTCTGCCTCCTGAGCACTGGTG